GCCAGACCCTCTGCTCTGTCACCCCTGCGACACACAGCTGCTTCACAAGCCAAGGGAAATGTCCTCGAGAGAGCCAGGAGCTGGCTTCATGGCATCTCCCACAGGTCTTTGCATCCCAACAGCTCTTCCCACCTTATTGTATGGGGATCCACAAGACACCCAGCTATGGATAAAGGAGGCAGTGAGGTCCCATGCTTCTCCCTGGCACCCTTCAGGCTTCACCCACCTTCCAGCAACTTCCTGAGCTGCTTTTCCTTCTTGGCGATCTCGTTCAGGAAGAGCTTGGAGTTGAGGTGGCCGATTTTGGGTGGGGGCAGGCTGCCACCTGTACAGTTCTGGGTCCTGTTGGGGACCATGGGCAGAGAGAAGAGACGTGAGGGACAAGGTACACTCAGGGGAGGATCAGATGGATCCTTTCCCACATGCCTCCATGGCCAATCCCCTTCCCTAGGGCAGCAGTGTGGAGGGCAGCAGGGAGCTGGCTCTCTCTGATGGGCAGGACCTTCCCTGTGCAGCTTTGCCAGGACTCACCTCCCGCAGCCCAAGTTCCACCACGGCCACCCCAGCTCCCCTTGCCTCCGCTAGCGCTGGATTTAACCCCTGCCCTGCCTTTGCTCCGGCAGAGCTGACTGAGCCCTGTGACCCAACCCATCTGCTCCCACTCTGGATGGGATGCTGGGTCCCAGATTTGCTTTTCCATAAGCACAACCCTGTGTTTCCCTGGTCCAAGGGGAAGACTTGATGCAATGGCTGCAGGAGGGGATTTTTTCATCCTCCCAGACAGAGAGGGAAAGCGAGGCACGAAACACGCCTCTCCCAGGCCATGTAGCATCTCTGGCCCTGGTCCTCTTCTGGGTATTGTGCTGTTGCCACCCTGCAAACACAAACGTGCCCTCTCTCCCCAGCAGACTTACCTGTCCATTAAGATTTTCACAGACTTGGTGTTCTAGGAAGGGAAGGAAAAGATCTGGTCAGTACGGTCCATCCCTGCTGTTGCAGCCACCTCCCCTTTTGGTGTCACCTTCTGTAGCTCCCCAGGAGGGAACAGGCTGCCCAGGGGTGCTAAGCCTCCTCTCCCCCAGCACAGGCTGTCCCAGCTCCATCTCCAGCTGTGGCACCTCCTCATTCAAGGCTGGTGCTGAGCCTGCCCCACTCCTCCTTGCCTTCTCCCACTGCTGAGCCATCTGAAGGCACCAGCTAGCCCTGTCAGTGTCCCCATTCCCCTCCCCACCATGCCCCACACCTCCCCGATGCTCCCTGCACAACCAGACCTCCCCACGGCCCCCATCCCACCCTCATCCCGGGCATCTTGTCTTACCTTCATGAAGTTGATGTCCTCAGTTTTGTCGAACATCACCTGGACAGAGCTGAGGAGCTTCTTGGCCTCCTGCATGCGCTCGTTGAGATGGAGGACCTGGGCCGCGTTCTCGTTGCAGAACTTGGCCTGGGCCTTGTCCAGGATCTCCATGGTCTTCCGCAAGTCCTCATCCAAGATCTGGTGCATCTTCTCATACTGCAGGCGCACCTCGTCCTTCAGCTGGCTCACCTTTTCCTGGGGGAGAGGAGCAGGGTCAGACCTGCTGTGCCTTCCAACCATGATATCCCAGGACACTGGGGTCCTTTCCCCAGCAGGGGTGAGCACGACCTGAAAGCTGCACCATAGCTCTGCTCTCCTGCAGTACCCACAGAGACCAAACCCTGCCATCAGCTGCCACATGGGACTCCTATGTGCCAGACGCTGTGGAGGTCTGGTTGATCCAGTAGATCTCCTGGACCTACCTCCTGGGGTCTAGGTGGGGATCACCTCCATGGAGCTAACTCCAAGCAACAACCTGCCACACCACCTTGGAAACTCCCGTCCACCCCCATCTTTATCCTCCTTCCCATCCCCATCCCTAGCCCAGGCTGGGGACATCATGAACCAGAGCCCTTCCCTCCATTCTCTAGGAGGCCATGGGGCTTTAAGGACTGCAAGCTGATCTTGTTTTATGCATGTCCCAGCAAAACACTCACTTGCATCTCTTCCACCTCCTGGGTATTTCAGTGATTTATTCAGGGATTTCCCACTTCCAGACCCTCCCCTGCTGCCTGGGATGAAGCCAGGAAGTCTGTGCTGAGCTGAGAGTCTGGTGGGCCACCTGATATGTAAGGACAGCCTTGTTCCTTGCTTTCCAACTCACCCTAGGCTCCACGAGGCTGTAGGGCAGCCCCACACACTTTTTTTTTCCCCCGAAAGGATAACTTCCATAACTGGAATGGGGACAGCAGGTCTGCCCAGCCGCTCATCCCCTTCATGTCCACCCTCCTCCCTGCCAACCTGACCCATCTGTCTCTGGAGCCTGTCCCCATCGCCCCATGGGGTGACAGTCCCTGGGGCTGGCTGAAGCACCAGTTACCTCGACCAGCCGCTTGTCCGATTCCAGCTTGTAGAGCTGCTCTTCGATGTCTTGCTCCCGCTCCTCCAGCCGGGCA